AAAAAAAAAAAAAAAGCTACTTCAGGGAAACAGAAATGGGCAGAATTCACTTAAAAACAACAACAACACAAAACCTCAAAATTCTTATCATCGTGTGATCTGCAGTTTCAATATTTTTACTTTCAAGTCTACTGTGGTCTGGTCTTGCAAAGAAATGAATACCACACATGGGTCTAAAAGAAACACCATTTCAAAACCCCCAAACAAAAACTATTTTAAAGTCAGCCTCTTTACGGACAGCAGAGGTTTCTGTAATAACCCTCCCCAAAAAACTGCCCTTAAAGTTATCTATTGTAATTCACTTCTTCCTCAGTTGTCTTCCAAGGAATGTAATTTTATTCCATGGTCTTAGAAGCTATTTTAATTTCAAAAGAAAGAAAGGTTCTTAGTTGACTGGCCAACCAACCTAGAGTCTCAACTAATTAAAATGCCAACAGTAACCCCAGTTCCGTAGAGAAGACAAATTTCTATTCACAAAATACTCTTCAACTTAACTGGGATTTTGATTCGTGAACACTAATTTATCTACCGACCAAAGGCAATCAAATGAATGATATAAAGAAAAAAGAGGGGCGCCTGGGTGGCGCAGTCAGTTAAGCGTCCGGCTTCAGCCAGGTCACGATCTCGCGGTCCGTGGGTTCGAGCCCCGCGTCGGGCTCTGGGCTGATGGCTCGGAGCCTGGAGCCTGTTTCCGATTCTGTGTCTCCCTCTCTCTCTGCCCCTCCCCCGTTCATGCTCTGTCTCTCTCTGTCCCAAAAATAAATAAAAACGTTGAAAAAAAAATTTTTTTTTAAAAATAAAGAAAAAAGAAAATTAGACCTAGTGACTAGAAAGGTTCTTAGAGTTAAATAATCTTCAATCTCATGAATGATTTATGTACAGCCTGCCTAGGTCATAGCTAAAGAATATGGTAGACTTGAAAGAACATGGTAAATTCTTAGCAGCAGCTTCCCTAAAAAATATTTTGGACTATTGGGTTCTTAGCAAACAATGGGAATATTCATGGGAAATACAGTGCAAAATATGGAATCTATATTATCAGCAAGAAACAAAATGTTCTGCCTAATTTCAGAGGATCCACCAACGCTCTCAAGTTTATTTGTGGGTTCCAAGTTAGGAATTTTGGTCCTATAGGATCCCTGAAGGTATCAACAGGAAAAGGGGGACCCCATTAGGCCTAGGTTTCCCCTAGGTATAAGTCACTGTTTCAGGTCAGTGGATTCTTTAACTTAGGCCTTGGGATCTCTTCCTTTTGGGTTTTTCTGACTACTAAAGTATTTTTCAGATTTGTTTCCAGCCTTCTCACTATCCAGGGATTTAACCTGAATTCAAAAGTTTTAGCTCCATAACTTCCAGAGTTTATTTTTTTCTGTGTCCTTCTAGAAAATAGCAATGGTGACTAGCATGACGACACTTGAATGTATAACTGAAATCTGCCAAGACAGCAGAATTTCAATGTTCTCACCATAAAAAGAGACAAGTGAGGTGCCAGACGTGTTAGTTACATGGGCAGAATCCTTTCACAATATATACATATATCAAATCATCATGACATACACTTTAAACATCTTACAGTTTTGTCAACTATACCTCATTAAACCTGGAACCCCTCCCTACCCTGATCTCTTAATCTATTTCTAGAGGAAAGGTGAATTGCAGCACATGAAAAACAGCTAACTCCTGGGGCACCTAGGTGGCTCAGTCAGTTAAGCCTCCGACTTCAGCTCAGGTCATGATCTGACAGTCCGTGAGTTTGAGCCCCAGAGCATGTCAGGCTCTGTGCTGACAGCTCAGAACCTGGAGCCTGCTTTGGATTCTGTGTCTCCCTCTCTCTCTGCCCCTCCCCTGCTCATGCTCTGTCTCTGTCTCAAAAATAAATAAAAACATTAAAAAAAAAAAAAAAAGAAAAAGAAAAACAGCTAATTCCTAATTTAAATAGACAAAAGATTATCAGAACTTATTTATAAGATTTTTTCACCACAGTGTTGAAAGAATCTGTGTATAAGTTTTTCAAATAGTATATAAGTTATTACGCATTCAACAAATATTCCTCAGTGTTATTAAAAATGAAAAAAAGAAAATGGAAATAAGAATATGCCCAGCTCTATATTTTATGGTGACCTAGTGTAGATTAAACGAGATGATATTGAAAGTGTCTTCCTCTCCAGATTAGTTTGCAAATTGCAAACTGTAGCTGTGTTTTGTTTGATCGGCACAAAAAAGAAATTTTTAAAACAAATTAGTTACAAAAATGTTCCAGTCAAAAGAAGTACATACAAATCTGGATTAGCACTTCTCCTGAAAAATTAAATGACTTCTCATTTAATTTAAAATAAAAACACCATGTTTTTTTTAAATGGCAACGCCATGTTTCCATTTGTACATGGCAAAAACTGGCTGGGGTTGAAAAACAGCTTCCCTTGAAAGGGGGCAAGAGGGCTTTAGTTTGTCACAGTCTTCATCATTCCCTTAATAGGGAATCCCAATATGGAGGCAGAGTAGCCACTGTCATGTTTTATCTTATAACCGCCCTGCACGCTGCGTGTCTGGTCCACGTGGGCATGTGGATTTGCAATCTTCATTCAGATTTTGATTCTATTTCTGGCTCTAGCTCTCAAACTGATCGACTGAGGATCAGTCTACTCCTGAATCTATCAATCATTCTTTCATCTTTTTCAACATGACCCCCCTTAATAAAACAAATACTGTTGGGGAAAAGTCAGAAAAGGGCAGTATGCTAACGCTAATGTACAATATAACAGCAAACACTGATTTTACGTTTACCCATTGTCTATTTTGAAAAAGAAGTGACCTGAAAGAAAGGAGTGCTACTCTGTGTTACACTGTCTTTTCTGTAACTGTAGGTTTCATTCCTATTTCATCCTTTTTACTGACTCACCTCATAAGCAGCACCTAGATCCTGGAATTTCTCCTGAGCTCGAGGATCATCGGGGTTCCGGTCAGGGTGAAGCTGTAGGGCCAGTTTCCTGTAGGCCTTTTTAATGTCTTTTATAGATGCACTTCGAGGCACCCCCAAGATCTTATAGAAATCTCGCCTGGGGAGTAGGGAGAGGGAAAGGGTACTTCATTAAAGAAGTATACATTACATTTTGCAAAGTGAAATTTTTTCCTTTACATTAGGTCTGTGAATGAGCGAAGAAGTAGGAAAATGAAGATATACACGTGATGCACAAAAAAGAATGACTACAAAGAGAAACCTCGGAATTTGTAACGAGTTCTTATACATTGAAGCAATCACAATGACAGTCTATGTACTTTTTGAACTTTGCTGAAATTATTCAAAACATCTGTGGTATACTTCTCTTAAAACTATCTTCAGGCAAGAAAACTATTATTTATGGTCATATGTGTTACTTTCAACCAATAACCGTATAATCAAATTAACTCTCCTTTTTCATTCCCTCTATTAGTGACTTTAAATGACTCCTGGCTATTTCCTAAGGTCAAGTGACAACCTCAAAGGGCGATTTTCTTTACAAGATTACATCGCATAAATGTTCTAGTAGTAGCTTTGTTTGAAATGTTAAACATGAAGTGACTGAAATTAAGTTCAGAGGCTAACATGGAGGTTAAGCCAAAATCCAGTAAGAGCCCTGAAGAAAGAATAACATCTATTTGGATGTATGAGTTGTGTGTTTTTTTGCTAAAAGCGGAAATATCAATCTTGCAGTCATTGTTAGTAGTTATACTAGTTTGTCATGGTCAAGTCTTAATTATAGACAGCTGCTGAAGCCCACATACAGGAGCCTGTAAGTCTCAGAAGCTACAAATACACACATGGCATGATATGTATGTGGGAGATAAGGGCTGACCACTGACCACCTTGCATGGGACTATGCTTGAACCAAATTAATTACAAAAGGAATCTTTGCAAGAAGGGCCAATGGATACAACAGAGTATAATAAACTTTCAGAGCAGGGACTGTAGCCCATAGAAGATATATATATATATATACACACACATACATTGAATGAAATGAATAAACATGCTCACAAACACCTACTCCTTTTGGCAGAGTCACTTGAGCCACCGAAAGTTATTCTGAAAATGCATTTCTCAACAAAGGGGATGGGAAAGTTGTGCACAATGGACACGCTAATGTAGCAGCGATGGTGACTTTAAAACGTAGTGGGGATAAAATGCATTGAGGTGCCAGGTGATATAAGCCACCACACTGAGAAAATTATTCCATAAGCTCTTAGTCCCACTTTAGGAAAGTCATTTAATCATTTCATGTAGAAGTTTGTAAAATGGTCACTCCCAAGGGATTCCATGAAAGTTAGATGCGTTAGCTTCCTCCCAAAAATCTGCAAACATCTGACATCTCTTGATGACAAGGACTAAATCAAAAGGTTCATTAAAATTAATAACAAAAGAGCTGTTTAAAGAATGAGTCTCACTTAGAATAATACAAAAATAATAATGTAATGTAATAACAATATAATAGTATAAATATAATAATAATATAAAATGGCTAAGTAACAGCTCAGAAAAAATCAGGGAAAAGATGACTGGCATAGTTTAGCATCAATATTACAATTCCCAAAAGACTTCTTTATAAAAGGCTGATGTTTAAAGCTAAAGAATTAACAGTAGTCATATTGACATTTGTTTAAATATCTTAGGGTATGTGTTGCTTTAATTAAGTACTAACAAAAACATACTAAGAAAAACAAGCATTACCTAGAAGTTAATTTTTAAGAAATTTGAAATGTTTCACAAGATAAAGAAGACAACAAAGTTTAAGCAGATGTGCACGGGGGAAAAAACTTTTAAGAAATAACAAGCACTTTCAATTTTAAAGCTTTGTTAAGTAGCACCTCCTCCATTTAGAGAAACTTATGAATTGTTAGAAGCTAAGACTTTACTATTTCCCCACATTCTAAAATATGAGCCTGTTAGATCATATCCCGTGGTCACCAGGCTTGTAAGATCATGGATCTAAAAGGATGGAAGGATCCTTAAGAGTTCAGGTGCTCCTATTCCCTTCCTACAGGAGGAACCTTATTACCCTCATGTTACAGATAAGAATTTAGGTGGTTCCTTCAGAGTCACATAATTCGTAAGTGAGGTGGGTGGTCTTGAATCCCAGCTCACTACCTGTTGGTGAAATGCTCTTCCCGCTCATAAGATTATTCAGCTTCTCAAGAATGTACCATGGAGAGAGACAGTGAGGCATGATGACAGCTTAGGTTCAATTATCTCAAGAAGCTGGGAAGTTCAAGAACTCTCCAAAGCGTCTGCCTTGCTCCCTCAATCCAATTTCCTCTAGTCCCAGCATGGCTTTCCTACCTGTTCTCACGTTTTCACTCAGACTCGCAAAATAACCCACCCACTTTAATGTCAGCCCCTCCAATGGCTCGATGCAGGCTCAACACAGTATGGTCCCCTTTTCCATCCAGCTCAGCAGTACCCCCACCCCCACAGTGTGTCTGGCACTGCATCCAAATCCCACTCCTCTGGGCAACTCTAGCTCTAAGGGCCTCTGGACCTAAGCTCCTCTCACTCGAGCCACCCACTGCTCTCCTCTCCAGCCCGCTGGCCTGGCCCACACCAGCCATTCTTCTGCCCCCACCGCCTCACCTCAGCAACGCCCCTCTCCACTCCCTCAGTCTGGCAACGCTCCCTCTACCCCAGCCAAGACTGACCGACTCACGGGCCCCGTGCCCGCGGGTGCCTGTTCCTCACCCGGCGATCACGGCCCCGAGGAGGTACAGCAGCAACAGGCAGAAGGTGCCCAGGTTCTGCGGGGCCATGGTTTCTCTGTGCCGGCCTCTGTGCCGGTCCCTAGCCCACGCGTTCCTTACAGACTCCTCCGCCGCCGAGTCGGCTCACCAGCCCACCCGGCGCTGAGAGGCCGCCTCACACCGGGGTCTCCTCGGTCCGGAGCTACAGCTAGCTCGCCCCCTCCCCTGCCAGTCCACTTCCCGGGAGTCCCGAGTCCCCGGGAGAGAAGCCCCTAGCAGGCGAGAGCCAATCGCTGCTCGGGACATCACACGCGGCCGGCGCCTGCAGCCAATCAGCGCAGTACACTTCACCTCCGAGGAGGCGCGGGCGGCCAGTTAGGCTTCCGAATTGCAGCCGCAGCTCCGGGCCTATTAGAGGAGAAAACGTCAGAGGATCGCGCCGCCGCAGGAATCCGCTCAGGCCCGGTAGCGGCGAGTCGTAGAAATCGACGTAAAAAGGAGGTCGGGGCGAAACGATGCCAAGCGAGGGCACCCGAGGTATAGGAATTCCCCCCGCCCGCCTCCTCGGACTGTCCACCAATCACGAAGTTCCTCCTGCAGCACTGACCAATTGTGGGAGGGAGGGTTTACCTCGGTTACAAGTCTCGGAATTTCATTCATGTACAGCTTTGAGCTGGATGCGGGAGCAGAGGGACTTTGGAGGAATGGGCGGAGACCATTACTCTACGCCAAACGTAGGGCGGACGAATTGCTTAGGAGAACTTATTTACCCTCTTCGAACAATCCCGGAAGAAAATTGACTGGGTTTCTCGGAGAAGAGGCTATGGAGGCAGACATACTTAGGTTCGGATTCGGCTTCCACCACTTCTTAGCGGTGAGAACATCCCCC